GGGGGGGGGGGGGGGTGCCTGGCACAGAGGGTGGGAGGGAGCGTGTGTTAAGACAAGGATGGTCGCCCCCCCGAGCGGCTGCGGTGGAGAGAACGTTGCACGGAGTCGCCCAGACGTGGCTGTGTCCCCGACCCGCCCCGTTACGTGGACAGGTCACTCACTACCTCTGCCCCTCAGTTTGCTCATCCGTAAAATGGGGAGAACAATAATAATCCCATAATAATCCCTTCGCTGGGTGGTGGTGAGGCCACGATGGGCTCACACCCACGCAAGTGCGCTGCACTCCGTCCCCGGCCGCGGGAAGGCGGGGATTGGACGCGGGCTGGACACAGGGTGACGGCTCGGGGACCAGTGGTAGCCGTGCCTCAGCTCTCCGCCAGGAGCCAGGCTGAGGGATCCCCGCTCTCTGCTCTCCACCTGCCCAGGTCTGGTTCAGTAATCGCCGCGCCCGTTGGCGGAAGCAGGCAGGAGCCAACCAGCTGGCAGCGTTCAACCACCTTCTGCCAGGGGGCTTCCCGCCCACCGGCATGCCCACGCTGCCCCCCTACCAGCTGCCGGACTCCACCTACCCCACCACCACCATCTCCCAAGGTGAGCACACGAGACTGTCCTGGCACCTCAGCTGCGCCCTGCCCCCCATTCCTCCCTTCCTTAACTTAGAAGGAACGATAAGGGCTATTTATTTCTTTAACGTTTATTTATCGTCGAGAACAAGCACAAGCAGGGGAGGGATGGGGGGGAGGGGGACGCAGGATCTGAAGCGGGCTCCCCGAGCTGTCAGCACAGAGCCCGACGCGGGGCTCGAACTCACGGACCGTGAGATCATGACCTGAGCCGAAGTCGGATGCTCAGCCGACCGAGCCACCCAGCCTCCCCCAAGGGCCATTTGTCTGTTTGCACGTGGACAGACGATTACCACTGGAACAGTGAGTTCCTGCCTTTGAACTTCTTGGTTTTGCCAACAGGCCACAGAGCATCCAGGTGAGGGTGAACAGGTAGCCTTCCCGCACACGTTTAGAACGGAGCTTCTCAAACTGTGAAGTCACATGCATCCGCTGCGGTCTTATTAAAACGCAGAAGTGACAGACAAGGCTACTATCACTCCCTGGACCCCTCCCTGCATCCTGTCTTCCCCCTCCTCTCTCTCCCCACCCCCGCCTGCCCCGGGGCGCATGTTGGGAGCCCCACTACCTGACCTCTGACTCATGACGCCCCTGGGGCTCCCTCTTAAAGGGCTGGCAGGCTGGAGTTCTAGAAACTGAGGAGAGAGGCAGGGGATCCTCCCTATGATTCTTTTTCTCCCCTCCCTGTAATTCTTGATGAGAAATTGACGATGATGGTCTCATCCCCCGGAAGGCCGCGTGGAGGGGCCCTGACAGAGCAGAACAGCAGCCCAGCAGCCAGGAAGAGAAATGGCAGCTCAGACCCTCGCCCCATCACTCAGTGGCCTTTTCGCCTTGCACGAGTGCCCGGCCCCTCCAAGCCTCGGTTTCCTCATCTGTAAAATGGGAATCCTGTGCCCACTTCACACCCTTAGACAGTATTTGCAGAAGCACCTGGCCGGTGGTCGGTGCCCACCAAATGCTGTCGGGACAGGCCTGGGTAGATTAAGAGAGTCCCCAGTGAGGTCTGACTTTTAGTCCAGAAGACTTTGATTGAGCACCGACTGTATGCCAAACGCTGTGCAGTGTGGCCGGTGAAGATGCCTGGAGGTTGTCTGGAACATCGGTTAGCTGTCAGTCGAGCCTTGGCTAGTCCCCGGCGTCCTGTCCAGAAGCCAGCTGGTCCCATCCTGAGTAGCGAGGGGAGGTCCCCTCCGTCCGCTGGATGGCGACGAGGAGGAAGAGGCTCGTGGCTCGCCTTCCACGCGGACGGTTCTTTCCCTGCCCTGGGACGCCCGCCATCTGGGCCGGGGCCACTGGCTCAGGCCCTCTCCTGGGTCTCTCCGCAGACGGGGGCAGCACCGTGCACCGGCCCCAGCCCCTCCCGCCGTCCACCATGCACCAGGGGGGGCTGGCCGCCGCGGCCGCCGACACCGGTTCTGCCTACGGAGCCCGCCACAGCTTCTCCAGCTACTCAGACAGCTTCATGAACCCGGCGGCGTCCTCCAACCACATGAACCCTGTCAGCAACGGCCTGTCTCCCCAGGTAGGTGGCCTCACCAGTCTGGTCCCTGGGAAGCCGCGGGCTCCGGGGCACCTCGAGAGGGAGAGAGAGAGAGAGAGTGTTAAAGTGGGAAGCAGGGACGCCCCCGCCACCCTTGCTGGTCAGGACCCCGGGATCCTTTGCCTGGGCTTTATCTCCGAGCCGCAGGCCCGGGTGACTCTGCAGGCAGGTACGGAGAATGGGTTTCCCCGCTCCTGGCCACCAGAAACAAAAAGCTGTTGCCTTCGAGACGTGCTCGTGGCCCAACAGCACCCCCCCCAGAGCTTGTGAGTCCGGCCCCCCGCCCACCTCATGGCTGTTCGGTTCACGAAAGTCAGGCATTTTCAGGCAGCGTGTTGGCAGAAGCCTTGTACCGTTTCCTGTGGGATGCTGACTGTGGTTTTGGGGCTTGGTTCTCGAACCAGGAGTCCTTCCTGGATTCCATCCAGTGCTCCACCCATGTCTTGCCTTTCCCCAGGCGTGACCACCGAATGAGAGGCAGGACCTCCTCCTGTTGGTAGAGAGAAACGCGGCTGGGGTTCTAGACTGGGGGCCCTGCTCCCATTGGGTCTTGGAGCTCGTTCCCTCGTGTGTGATTGGTTGCTGGCTGCGTCACTCGTTGCCGGGGCTGTTGGAAGTTGTTGGGGCCACCCTGCGATCCAGTGCAGAAGGCATCGCTGAGGCTGTTGGTGGTGGCTTGTGGTTTGGGGAGCAGGACGCGGGGATGCTGGCCGTCCTGGTGGCTTTGAGGAGCTGATGGGTTCCCTTCTGTAGCCACAGCGGGTTCTCAAATATCCACGGAGGAAAGGCAGAAATCCAAGGCTGGTTTTGCCCTGCCTCCCACCTTCTGAGTGTGGCGCAAGCTTTCCTGAACGGCTCTGGTTCGGTAGGAAGGGTGAAGGCTGGAAGAGGGTTAAACCCCAGCTCCGCGGCTCAGGGCGTCGGGGAAGTTAGCATCTCTGAGCCTCACTTTAGCCCGCGTTGACCTAAAAAGTGATTAAAAAGGGTGTTGCTAACCTCCTAAGAAGGGTGTTGTTTGTGCTTAGCTTGCTAACTGGCTGAAACCTTAGCTCAGAGCCTGGCACAACATAGGGGCCGAATGAACATTCGTCCTCGTGTCAACCCCCCGCCCCCCACAATTGCCAGGACGATATAATCAGTATGAGAACCCTGTTACTTGAAGAAAAAAGGGGGCCAAAGGGAAGGTCCACTACAGCCCCCAGGCCACATCCATCTGGCTTCCTGCTGTTGTCAATAAAGCTTTATTGGAACATAGCCACGCCCACTTCTTTACAGATTTCTGGCTGCTTTGGGGCTGTAACGCCAGAGCTGAGAAGTTTCAAAACAGATCACGTGGCCCACAAAGTGAAAAATATTTGCTATGTGGCCCTTATAGGGAAAAAAAAAATTGCCAATCCCTGGTCTAAAACCTTCCCAAGGTTTTAATTTTCTGCATGGTTTTGGGTCTGTCGCTGTGTGCCTCCGTTAGTGAGTGTGGTGGAGAGCTAACTGCATTTTAGTCTCCTCATTTACTTATGGGTAAGGTCCCTTCCCCTCTCTGTGCCTCAATTTTCCCCATCTGTGAAATGGGGATGGTGCTAAGCCTCTGTCTGGTAGGGTTGTTGAGGATGGGATGAGCTGATGTGTGCCAAGTCTTCCCCAGTCTGGGGCAGAGTTGAGCGAGCCGCTGAACCCAGAGCTCCTAACAGTGATGCCCGAGGTCCTCTTGGGGCCCACATTAGGGGCCGGGGTGATGCAGTCTGCAGACCAGAATGCTTTCCCGGTGGAACCTCGTTGGCCTCTTTGGCGCTCAAGGCCATGACTTCCATGCCATTAGTGCAGAGGACAAAGCGGCTGAGCTGACCTTCCAGAGTCAAGAGGCAGACAGGATCCCAGAGCTGGCTGGGTGGCCGTGGCTGCAGAGACCCGAGGTGTCCACGTCTGAGGATGTGGTCCAGGCCTGGCCTCGCGGTATGAAACAGGCTGGAGGAGCCTCACTTGGAAATCTGAAGAGGGATGTTGAGATTATGCAGGCCAGTCTTCTCGATTCATCTCAACAGGGCCCGGGAGGCGTTGGCCGGGCCAGGGCCCAGAGTCCGGGGCTGACCACCGCTCCTTGCGGCCCACGGGGCTGAAGTTTCTCCCCAAAGTAGCAGTTTTGTCACAGGGCAGAGGCGAGACGAGCAAATAGGGGGCGCTTGGCTTCTGGAGCACGATTCAGCGATGAGAGGGATACAGAGCAAGGATGTCTCATGCACTGTTTGGGCCCAGAGACCAGCCTCGGGGAGGGAGCGAAGACGAGAAAAAAAACCCAGCCATTACTGTAAGCAGCCAGTGGCCCACCCTTCTCCCTGCCCGAGCTAGACGCTCCCCTCTCCTCCCAGAGACCCTCGGGAGGCTTTCCTCCACTCCTCAGGCGGAGAGGCTGTCAGGACGTGATGGATTGGGCTGACTCCGGAGACTTGCCCAGAGGTTCCCACCAAAGGTGTGAAGACAGATGGAGGGTCTGACAGGGGCAGAGGGGACCAGGAGGTGAACAGCTGCTGGCAGGGGAGAGGGGGCCGTGCG